TGATGGTTTAGCTCGATCCTTTCACGCTTATTTATCGCCGTTTCTTCCTGAAAATCCTTACTCGATGTTGTGCCTATAATTAGCCTGAACTCGAACTTTCGCCAACGGAAAGGATTCCCCTTCACGATCCCACTGTTCGCAATTTAGCATCAATTTTATCGAAATTCGTCTTCTCTTTAGAGATAGATTGGGCTAAAATTTCACCTGAACACGCATACATTGAATAATTTCGATCGAGAGCGCAGAGTACCGAGCCCTGCGAAAGCTAAGCGTGCGTTCCAGGAGGTTGGTAAACGTATGTCTAGAACGTAGAACGTTGAACAACTACGGAGACAAGTTCCTAGTGTATCCGCCCCCACGAGGAAGTTTTGACAAAGATCCGTCCTGAATTTTAGCGATCGGTTGTAAAGTGTGAATAGCAACTATCACCAGTGAATATTTGTTTGCCGCTTTATTTTTATATACAGTCCCTCGCTGTACCATTTCCTAAGTGTTTTTCCTTGTGCAAGTAGTCTGGCCCTCAATCTCCAGGATTATCCCACTTTTGCGGCTTCACAATAACTGAAGGTGCTGCAGCCCTAATAACTGTCAGTTCTGACGCCTTATTTGTCTCGCTCTCCAAGAGAGGAGAGGCTGTCTGCTGTCATGAGCTCAGTTTTTATATCGTGTTTTTCTCTTTTTTTTCTGCTAATTATAAGAAAAAGGGGAGCTCAAGTCGTATTATTGGATGGCACTAAGAAACGATTAGTGAGCTAGAGGTGGCAAGATAGTGGCACAAAACGAGTGAGTCCGAGATCTCGTCCAGAGAAACAGCCAGTTCCTTATCTGGGGTGTTCTCCATGGTTTTCTTTAAATTTTCTTTTCCCTGGAGAGTCAGATGGCGACTATAAGTTAACTAACTGAACGCCACTGTCCACAATATGCATCCTCGGTGTTCGTCTTCAAACAATGGCCTCGACATTAATGAGCCTCCTTTCGCTGTGAGTGTTCATAAGGTCCCAGTGTTTTGATTTTCGATAACCTGGCATTCCTCTTTACTTGTTAGTAATTTTTTTTCAATTATTTCTTGTTTTCCCCTCCCACACATGGCACAAAGGTTTAGATTCACGGCTACATTGTGCTTCGATGCAAGAGCAATAACGGACACTTCTGCCCGACTCTTTTTGGACCATTTCGCTGCTTCCCTCTCCGATCCGGACTTCATGGTCGCCGAACCCATTAGTCCTGAACTGAATTTCGATTTCGCTCGTCTTCTTTGATATGTCTCCACTTCCCAGTGTTTTTGCTTTAACTAGGAGTTAATACTTAGCCCGTTGTTGTCGTATAGAATTCTATAGAACTTTCATGTTTCAGTACTGGGTACTACATGTTTACAATTGTGACGACTAGAATGTGCAAAGAAATTTCCGAGTAATGTAAATATCGTATGCTTCTTGAGTCTGACCATTGTACGGATACCAGAAGCTACTAGGGTGTTGTTGTTTGTCCAGAGATGAGTAGTAAATTTTTTAACTGATTTCGGAAAATCTATCTTGTTGCGGTGCCAAACCAACTGTTGCATATCGCACTTTCAACATGTTGCTAGACACATACGTTAGACTCGTTTATTTCAGACAGTAGATCTTTCACTTGAAACAAAATAGTATCTCAAAAGCATCAGTAACCCTTACTCTGCTTTGTGATCTCTGGAGGTGAGTTGTTTCACTTTGGTGTATTTATCTGAGGTGCAAAAAATTGTGAAGAACATTGCTTTATCGACTTTTGACCCAATTTGGGGTGGTGTAGTGAAAAGTGGCTCGCTCACCACTCGCGAGGTGCTGGGTTCGAATGCCAGCTCGACACTCGCCCAGGCCAACAGACCTGTCTACCCTCCGGGGACGGTATATTGGTGCCAGATTTGTCTGGGAGGATTAGAACACTGACTTGTACATTGTATAGGCCACCTCGCATTCAATAAGCCACTACGATTCTGAATGGAAAATGCGTGCCGCATCCATCAAAGGGATTGATCAGCGCGAAGACTTTATCCTTTTTTTAGTTCTGGGGAGATTGGAGCATTTAAACAGACTGTGGCAAGACATGAGATTCTCAATGGAGGGTAGGGTTTGCCTGAGACTTGGCTGGGGAGGGAGAAAGTCCCAAGTCGTTGAACCAATTCGGAGAACTATGCCTCTATCTGAATGACATTGTCATCTGGCAGCGTTCAGACTTGCTTACAGCAGCGCCCACCCTTCTGTTATCCTCTTTCGAACACAAGCGGCCGGTGCCGATCGACTCCCGTCTGCGGCTACGTTTGCGTCCGTAGCATTCGAGCGCTGTTGCACATCATCGCGAAGTATGAACGCTGCCTTAGAGGGAGATGCTTTGAGTGTCTGTTACCCAAGCTTTTAAGTGTCGATTCAATTTACCACAATATCTTGGAAATCAGGGAATGGAACTATCTGAAATAGTTTTCAAAGAAAGTTTTCAGCTCAGCATGATAACAACGACTTTTACTCGTCTCGTAAAACCATTGGCACCATCAGTACTACGTATTGTCGCACGTGAAAAGCATTTCCTTGCAAACGTTCCGCTGAAGAAACGCGGTGTGGACAAGGTGTCTGTCGACGAGCTCAAGGGGAAGGTACCTCGTTTCTTCTTAAATACTTTCGTGGATCAAATCCCATCGGCTCCCGCCCATATTAGCCGAGCATTCTGCTCTCCTGGGACGGTAAATTGGTACCAGATCCGTGTGGGAGAATAAGAATGCTGACGGCTGCCCCGCAAGTCGTTCTATAGGTCATACCACATTTACTAAGGCACTAAGATGTTGAATGAAAGAAGAATGCGTGCCGCATTCTAATAAGAGGTTAGTCTACAGCGAAGACTGCGTATTTCATTATGTCGAGAGTGGAGAAATTCCGCGCTTCGTCCTCGGCACTATTCGATTGTTGAAAGTATACTCAGATGCAGAGCCCTTTACAGCTTTTCACGTTATGTAATAATTCCAAATTATTCAGGTACTTTTGCTTTACTTCTCTGCTGGATGGTGTAGATCTTGTAGAATGCTCACCCCCAAGCTCAAGGTACAAGTTTCTTTCGTGGAAGCATTTACCGCCCTGTGAGCCAGTAAGTGTTTCAGAAGTTCTATGAAGAACTAGGAGATGCCGACCGACCAAATTTGGAAGTGGTGTGGGTATCCCGTGACAAAGAAGCCGCGGATCAATTGGAGTATTACGAGAAAGCAATGCCGCCATGGCTGTACATACCATTCGGTGATGAAAACATCCAGTAAGTAGTCAGCAAAAATGTGACTTGCTCAAAGCAGGAAATCATATGGTGGTTTCTCCTACATTATTTTGACCCTTCAGATCAGGTGAATTCCATCTTTGGGACCTTTTCTTGCGGTAGGTGAGTGTTTCGTTAGTACGAGTCGCGCTTCGCTCTTACCTTCCACTTGTCGTAAGTGACCCAAGGCTGACAAGTTATACTGCCATTTCGAGGCCACCAGTTCCTGTATGAAGTCATGGTTTCGTAGTAAGTGCTCATGCCTGCATGCAATGGGCAGAACAAACGAGCCCGAAATGACTCATGTAGAACCCCATGCGTGCATAAAGTGGAAGAAGGGCGTGGTTGGAAGAGTTTTCACTTGTTGATGTCGGCTCCTTATCCTTATCACCTCCCTCTCACCATTCGAAATGGAGAGAGCTTGCGGCGGAACAACGGCACCACCAGGATATCTTTAAAGTGAAAGATAAACTTCGTCTTGGTGCCTCGTCGCGCAACTGCGAAAATGGCTTCTAACATATGATCAGTACGGGGAGTACGGTTCAGTTTGTCATTCGTTACAAGGCATCTCTCAGACGGATCTCTTTCACTGAGCGTACAGAGGTGTATTCCCATCGCTCTTCTGTGCTAGCATTTAAAGCAAGGAAAATAAGGGAGTGAGAGAAGGAAGGGAGAAAAAGGAGTGAAAAGGAAGGAAGATGAAGGTCCCGCTGTTTACAGATATCCTGAGACCTTTGTCATTAGATGACTGGAGGAATGTCACTCACAAATAATGTCCATAATGTTGATTATGTTCATTAAGAGTGATTTTTCAGAGGCTTTCTGGAGAAGTATGACGTTAAGGTGATCCCTGCACTGAAAGTAGTCAACGACAAGGGCGACGTGTTGAGTGAAGCAAGAGCTGACGTAGAAGTAAGCATTCCTTCCTGCCTTTACTACATTCAGCAACACACAGGACTCATAAAGCTTAAGCAGTGATACTTTCAGGGTTGTGTAAAAGGTGACGCTACAGTATGCTACAAGAAATGGAAAAATATGTACTAAACCTCAGAAGTTGATCTCTCTGGTTGGATGCCTCATAGAGAAATCGAATTAATCAAGTTTAAAAATACTTTGTATTGTAATAATAAATAGAAGGTATTATTGGTTCCAAATGAGCCTGAAAGAAATGTCGAGGGTAGAATAAAGCATGAAGTCCGGCCAATACTAATAAATGCTTGATTTGTAAGAATGCGAGGCAAGCTAGTTGAGGATTGAGGAACTCCGCCCACTTGCCACTCACGCATTCTCTGAAAGCGCGACGCACTTTCCAAAAGTGACGGATCATCGATTTCCGACCAACTTTGTCTCAAAGGTAAGCATTTAAAAATCGTGGTTTGCCTATCTCAGTTACCAATTAACCGTGGCGAAACATGCTTTTACTAGAGTTCGCTGCAGGTGAAGGGGCGTGGCAGGCAGAGTGAATGTGCCATGGCGTCAAACCAGTTTTCTGCCAGTTGTTGAAGCGGGTATGCGACAACAATTGGTAGAGAACGAGTGATAGGATTTGTATGATGCAGTCTTGTCACCAATAACCACTGGGCGAACGGGTTTGGCACCGTGTCATACTCACCCCGCCTGACGCGCCCCTTCGTACGCAGCGAAATAGACTATACCTGCACAAGGCGACCGAGTTTTCACTTGTTGGGGCAAACCCTTCCTCCTCATCACGTCGGACTCACCATTTGAAATGGAGAAAGTTAGTTGCGGAACATCTGCATCATAAGGTAACGATTGAAAATGAAGGATGAGCGTTGCCATAGCCAACGGGTGGAGCCGTAGTTAGGTCGTAGGCGGCTCGCATTTCCCTCTTTTGTTTTTTGAGATTTTCGAGCAACGAAAGTAGTACATCATCCATGGTTGGAGGCAGGATTAAAATATCCAAAGAAGGCTCCTGAACATCAACAGTATGGCAGGGTTTGCCTTTAAGTATCTCCAGCTACAGGTTATTGTGAAGGAGATGAAAGCTTTATTGTAAGAGAACAAAGAATAAAACTCGAGGAACTAAGCACATTGTACCAGGTATAAATACAGGGTTGTAGTGCGAGATCAAACTCGTGGACAGGGTAGCATTCGATGGAGTTATAAAAACGAACAATACTGAGGAAATCTACAACAGCTAAGGTTCTATGATAGATATGAATAACGTGACAAAGTAAACCGTCTGAAAATGTCGAGCATAAACCGGAAAGCGGGTTAATTGAGTTGCAGTTCGCCACGATATGCTCCTGCTGGAACGCTGGATGTGTCGACCTGATGGAGGGATCATTACAGTACTCCTCTTTTTCCTTATCCTATCTCACAATTTTCATGAGGCAAATGAACACTTCAGAATGCTTATATTAAACGATAGTCTACAAAAATGAGAGGCTGAAGGACCTGGGGCAGAGTTGAGATAGCAGCGAAATTAGACTGTGCCCCTCACAACACCATGGTAAGCGCCCAATATTGCATCCGCTTAACCCGAAACCATTTGGCGCCCGCGCCAAAATACTCGAAATCACCAAACTCGCTGAAAACTTGCTCCAGGGGTAGTTTGACCTTCTGAACACGAATCTCACATCCGCTCAGCCCGAAACTTCTTGGCGCCTGCGCTACAGGCGCTGGCGCCAAAATACCTGAATCACCGGCGCCTGTGGCGCAGGCGCCAGGAAGTTTCGGGCCGAGCGGATGTGATATGAATGTGAATGTCATATTCGTATTCAAAAGGTCAAAATACGGAGACAATATTTAGCCAAATCTGTCCACGGAGAAAAAAGTCGGTCAGAAAATGGCTCAATTCTGGATGGTTGGGGCAGCAAAGGGTAAATAGTGCCGGCCTTCTTTACAAGCTGTAGTCTTGCTCTCTGCCGATGGTAAGGCATATCAAGGGGCTGAATTTGGTTGAGCGCCAGCCCCTTGTCGCTTGTTCGCTACAACAAGTGGTAGAGAACGGATCTGCACCGCACCAAGTACTCTTATTACCGCCCCTCCCCTCCACCTGACACTCTCCACCGCTCGTATCAAAAGAGACTATACAGTTCCTGACTACTGCTTTCATTGCTTTTCCTCTCACCAGGAAAGGTCAACAGGTCAGCCCGGCCATATGCAATGAGATGCACATCATTGTACTCATCTTGACACGGTGAACTCGAAACTATCTTCAAAATTTGCGGAACGATTCTCTGAGCGGAGTTATGGAGGTTTTTCTTTACTGTTTTTCTTCTTCCAGGCGCGCTGGCGCCGAAGCGTTGGCACCTGTAGCGCGACTCACAGCGCTCTTCGCGCAAAATAGGTATCATATTCGTGTTCAGGGGGTCAAATAACCCCTAGAGACGTCACCTTAGCGAAATCTGAGGTTCTGACTCAACTTCGAAAAAAATGGGGTATGGATAGTCATGGCTGACTGATAGCCAACAGCGATACTATGACTAGCATACTGGTGATGACTGGTCTTCGAACTGAAATAACTCTTCAGTCATGTCTTTTCGCAAACAACAGTACCTGGCTTACTTATTTGTGCCGTCTGCATCATTTTCTTGACTATCGGGAGGAAATCCCATTCCGAGACCAGTCATCGATGGTAGGTGAGCTCCAAACTGCTGCTAATTACCCATGGAATAGCTCACATTTTCCAAGTTAGGTCGAAATATCAGATTCGGCTAGAAACTTGTCCCCAGGGGTAATTTAACCCGCTGAACATGAATATGATGGTATTTCATTGCAAAAACCCTTGTGACATGTGCTACGGGGGGGGGGGACAAGCACGAGCACTCTTTCAGGCCATAATGAGTCTTTCGAAAAAAAACTGGTCGAAATTTCCTTACAGGATAGTGCAGGCGAGCAGAGATGTTAGAAGCTTTGTCGGCCATGTTCTTGGACAAATGCAAAAAAACACCCTGCCGAGAACCGATCCTACGACGTCTCGCCTAGTAAACCCGCTCGCTATCCGTTGCGCTCTACTGCCACGTTTCAATGTGACTCCATTCTTGTATATGAAGACGCTTCCACGTTTCCTCGCGATAGCATGTGAAACAACCACGCGGGGATAAACCCTCCATAACTCCGTTCAGAGAATCGTTCCGCAAATTCTGAAGGTAGATTTGAGTTCACTGTCCCAAGACGCGTACAACGGTGTGCAGCTCATTGGAAATGGCCAGGCTGACCTGTTGACCTTTCCTGGTCAGACAACGCAGAACAACATCGAGTCCGCATAATGAGGTCAGCACCGATATAAGGGACTACCTAGGGGTGCAACAGATACAATTGGTCGTCCTTTAATCCCGCTAAGGGACAAGCCACGCACCACAAATAAGTCCAGAATCGCGGTGTCAGCATGCAATTATGAATCCACCACGATTTGCGTAGATCACTATGGTACAAATCAGTGTCCAACCCTGTCACACAAATCACCACACAATCGGCAGGAGAGTGAAAGACTTGACTGCGCCGGGCCGAAGTTAACCAATGACTATCCCGTATCACTCCCATGGTAAGCGCTTTCCACTACAGTGTGACCTCTACTTATTTGTCAGAAAGTAGATATGCTGAGGAAAAGTCTTTAAAAAAACTCACATCATCGAAAGTAGGGATGGTGAAGTGCCTTTCTGGATGAGATACGACGAGCAGGATCGTATACCAGCATTTCCTATAGAAGAAATTGACCAATTTGACAACATTGATTTGAAAAAAACGACAATTCTCTAAAAACTCGAGAACAAAGAAAGAAAGAGAAAACTCACCTCTAGCAAGTCAATCGCGTCATGATCCATATAGTTTGCCATCTTTTCGGCTAGAGAGCTGCCTTTCCATTTGGGGAATGTTGGCTTGTAGTCCGGTAACTGACTGACACCTGGCCACTCAGCCTCAGTGGGAGTGCCAAGAATCCTGGAAAAAATAAAAGTAATAATGTGAACAAATCAAAAA